TGCGGACAATTTTGCTTCGATTCAGGCCTCGTAGCCAGACTCAATGGATGGACCGGCACCATCTTAAAAAAATAAATTCCAAGGAATATTTTTTCCAATGATGATAAACATTCCCCGTTAAATTTAAAGTTTCGGTGCATTTTTTTTTTAAGTAGCGACCCTCGAAATGAGTCATCACTTATTATGAGATATTTTCTAATCGAGAGCAAAATTCATATCTTTTCATCATTACATACATGAGGGCTGCTGTTATTTTGATTTCTTTGATTTCAAATACAACTGCTTTTATTTTGATCTCAATTACAAATTTATTAAAAAAAAAATATATGTTTGAAAATAAATTGTTTGCTGAGAAAATAATGTTAGTATGTTTATATTTATTTTAAATAATTTAATAAACTAGAATAATTTTTCAAATTCCAATAATTCGATACAGTTAAGTAACAACCTCTAATAGACTACGGTTCACCAAGTCATATCTAACATATACATATTCTCCCATTCCCCTTTTCTTTTAACAAACTAGTCACCCGATTTGTTATTTTGTAGCAAATTTCGCTTAAAATGCATGCTGTGCGTAAAACCAAGAGTCGCTTTATCACCAATTTCCGCTACTTGTTTGCTGTGTGATACTATTTTTAAGTAAACAACAAGCAGTTTTGTTAAATTTCACGCTAAAAATGTCACTAACCGGCTGGTAGATAATGCTTGTGTGCTGGAACCTTAAAATTCGATATTTAGTAGAGGCTTTCAGGTCATTCTTCTTAGCCATGATTCAGCAATTAAACTGTGCAATAGAAATTATAGAAATGAAACTAGAAATAATGTATCGCTGTTTGGGTGAGCAGAGCGGGGAATGCGAAATGAAATACAAAAAGCCAATCAGTAATCTTTGGAGAATAGGCAGAAAAATTAAACTATTTTTACTACGTGTTCTCTACTTTCCTTATTAAGTAAGTAGTACGTTCTCCCAACAGACTTAATAAAGTTCATTGCCGGAACGAAATAGATTAAAACAATTCAGAAAAATGAAATTCAAGCGGAACCGGTCTCATAAATGAAATACGCTGGTCGAAAACGATTACCGCTATACTAAGTGGAATATTCACGAATATTTAGGTATAAAAAAGCTCTGTGCAAAGTGAGACCCTGCGAGCTTACTTTTGACCAAAAATGTTTAAGCGTAATAAACCTAAAAACTCGGGTTTGATTATAATTTGATTTGATTATAAAGTGCCACCGACAGTCTGTCGAACGCAACAGTCGGCTGGCAAGGTTATGGCGTCTGAACTTTGGGATGCGCATGGAATACTTTTTATTGACTACCTTGAGAAAAGTAGAAACATCAATAGCGACTATTACATAGTATTATTGGACCGTTTAAAGGACAAAATCTCCAAAAATCGTCCGCATTTGAAGAATGATAAAATACTGTTTCACCAAGCCAATGCACCATATCACAAGTCAGCGAAAACGATGACAAAAATTTATGAATTGAGCTTCGAATTGCTTCCGCATCCACCGTATTCTCCAGACCTGATCCCCAGAGAATATTTCCTGTTCGCAGATCTCATAAGAATGATCGCTGGGAAAAATTATGCATCGAATGAAGAGAGAATCCTCGAAACTGATGCCTATTTTGAAGCAAAACAAAAATCGTACCACAAAAATGTTATCGAAAAGTTGGAGGCTCGCTATAATCATTGTATCGCCCTTGAAGGGTTGAATAAAAAAACTTATTCTGGCAAAAAATGCTTTTTACAATGGTGGGCCGGAGACTTGGCAATTGACTTTTTATTTTATAATTATATTACAATATCTTAAAATTCCCATATTCTGTATAGTATTTATCGGATCAACAAACTTCCTCTATTTCGGCAAAGTATTACATCAAGTGTAACATTTTCACACAGTTTGTTTAAAAATCTCATATTCTGACGGAAATGCATGTTAGGAATGTTTCGGATAGTATTCGGATAGTTAGGATAGTATCCAAATTAGTGAAGTCAGTTCACGTTTGCCCCAATTACCAGCCGCCAATTATATCGGTCATATATCGGTTCAAAGTTTTACAAAGATTGGGCCAAAAAAGCACCTAAAATTTTTTATTAAATTCCCCGGGTGAATGATATTTCAAAAAAATGTATTTTGCTTAATTGCTAGGCCAAATATGAGCGCGATCTGTTAACTAGACATTTATGGAGAGGTCATCATTTGTTGCGGAGGGACTGACGATCAATAAAGAATGCTATTATGGAGCCATTTGCGTGGGAACATCTGTCGAAAACGGTCGAAATTGCGGAAGAACAATTCATGGAAAACTCATCAAAAACGCAATGAATACCATCGATCAACCACCGTATTCACCATATTTGGATCCGTGTGATTTTTTTCTTGTTCCTCAAATTGAAATTGCTGCTCCGGGAAACCCGTTTTCAGTAAATCGAAGAGATGAAACAAAATTCGCCGAAGAAGCTGACGGCCATCCCAAAAAGTGCTTATGAAAAGTGTTTCGAGGACTGGAAAAAATCGTTGGCGTAAGTGTATTACATCTGGTGGGGAACGTATTCCCCATTGTCGCAATGTATACCGTAGTATTAGTTTTTGAGAAAGTTATACAGGTCATACTGTTATTTGCCACCGCATTTGGAAGAAATAGCTTAACGACAAACGCATAATTTTTTAATTTCTTATGCAAATGATCCTGGAAAAAATATCAAGCAGTAAGGATGTAGAGAGATTACACAGTAGCATTTATCTGTTTCTCTGTTAAATAACCAACATTTTTCTTTTATTAATAATTAATCTAAAACATCATTTGCGATTATTGTTGTATATTTTTATTTCTCTCCTTAATCTAAAATTATTACCAGTTAAATTAGTATTAAAAAACCTATTTCAATATACACACTTATGTATATTTTTCGAATAAATACGACGTGTTCTCCATATTGAATAAATATTTATGCATAAATATGTACCACTTAAAATTTAGTACTCAGAGGTAAGCAGCTGTTGCTCAGTAAATAGTAGACAATAGGTTATAACACCTGATAAAGATAAATAAATAAATCATATTTATAAAACAAACAACAGTATTAAGAACCAAATTACTAATTAAATTTTTATTTTTTCGAGACAATATTTGTCCAGTGATGAAAGGGTTGTCTTTTAAGCTTTTGTCAATATTATACCATCTGTGTCTAATGTCGAGCGATCAATTTAAAGGGCTACGACATTGACCTTTTGGGATGCTAAACATTTCAAAATTTTGATGAAATTAATATTTTTATATAAAAAATTCTGCCAAAGATAGCTTTTCTAAATTATAGAATTATAGATAAAAGCGTTATGTAGCTAAAACTGAGGCATATAATATTTTTGTATACCATATACATATGTACACATAACGATCTGAAATTTCACTTTCCTTTTCTCCACAAGAAGCTGCTTTGTTCTAACGGCTGATATCAGACCACTATGGAATATAGCTGTCATATGAGCTGACCTAATATTAGGTTGTCAAATATCTCCCTTCCGTTTAGACGGCAACTTCATAATACCCCCTCATAGAAGCCCCACTCCTTATTTTCAAAGAACTCCGGCAGCCAATTTTCACAAGCCTCTTTTGAGTTCAATTTTACACCAACAAGGGCGTTGGCCACAGACAGAAACAGCTGGTAATCACTTGGCGCGATGTTCGGGCTATATGGTGGATGCGATAAAACCTCCCATCTATGTTCCCATAGCATCTGATGAGTCATCAACGAAGTGTGTGGTCTGGCGTTGTCGTGGTGGAACACTACACCCTTCTTGTTGGCCAATTCTGGACGCTTCTGGTCGATCGTCTGCTTCAAGCGGTCCAATTATTCGCAGTAGATGGTAGAATTAAGCGTCTGGCCATGTGAGAGCAGCTCATAGTGGATAATTCCTTTCCAATCCCACAAAACACACAGCAAAACCTTCCTGGCCGTCAATCCCGGCTTGGCTACTGTTTGGGACGATTCACCGGCCTTCGACAACGCGAGGTCCGGCTAGGGTTGGCAGGGCACGCAAAGAGGTGAATATATGCACGTTGAACATATATTTGAGGTGTCAGGATCGATTCTAGATAAATATTAGTTTAACCTGCAACAGGATCCAGAACAAAACTGCGCAAGAGTCACTCTCGCTTCTCGCGGCAGTTCGAGCTCTTTGTCTGCAATGTGGTTTGACTCCAAGTACGTCATTCACTGAGAGGGAGTCGGTGGAAGTGTTAATGGCTACACTATTAATGGTTCCACTGTGAATGGCGATCAGTGCATGTCTGAAGTTTGTTGCGTCCGAAGTCTGGTGTCGACGTAGTTGAGGAAGGACCTCTTGATGCTTCTAGAAGGCAGTTCCGCTATAAGCAGGTCACTGCAGGCTTTGTTTAAACGCCTTCAAAACTTATCGAACTTAACCTCAAACCTCTATTTGTCAATTTTACAAATGTTAGGTGAACCAAGCTGGTATAAACCTTGCCACACTTACAGAAATCTAAGAGAACCAATATTAATAAATTATATTTTCAAATCTTCAAATGCTATCAAATATTCTATTCGCAAAGTAACCCTGAAATCAATTTCTGCGCTTTTCCAAGTAAACAGAAAAACTTCTGTAATTTTAGACAACTTTTATCTTCACATCACATGCTATACCTGTACATTTTTTACTCAGTTACACATTATGGCAGTAACGACCAGCATGCACCTCAAATGATTAACTTTACACTCATTTTCCGCATTTGAATTATTGCTACTTGGATATGAGCGCGAATGGTAATGCTTGTCAAAGCTTTATTCGGGTTTTATTGGTAGTTTTATGTACTGACGTGAGTAGCGCCAACACTTTTCAAGTCATTTTCACTCTTCTGCTCAAGCACTCATACACTGTCAAATATTAACTGTTGTTCACTAATTTTTACTTTACTGCGTTCAAATACTTTATTGATACATTTTATTCTACTTGTTTATTTACAGCTTGAACGTGCGAATGATACTGCTGGTGCGCGATCCACGAGGTACAATGCAATCGCGCAAGCATCGCGACTGGTGTGCCGGCAATAGGGACTGCGAGAATCCCCATTACGTATGTCAAGACCTAGTGGACGATTATCATGCAGCTGTGGAACTGCTAAAGGAGCATCCATCGCGTTTCAGGTAAGAGAATATTCGTAGAAGTTGTGTAGTATAGATTAAGTAGGATTCAAGGAACAATTCTTCGGGCAAACTCATAAAAATCGGACTAAATTGTTGGATGTTCGTTATTAACATTTTATGATCATAATTTCGTATCGAAGATAAATGAACGCATAACATATAATAAATTTATTATCCAAGACTTGAAAAGCAATTCAAAGATCTAGCAGATTTTCAAATATTCAATTTTATTCTCAAACAAATAAGTTTCTTATCCAATAGTTTCACAGGCAGTCCATTAGTCGATTCGTACCTGAGGCGCTCTGAACGGATAATAGTTTATATCAGCTGTTCAAAACGGACCCGGACTGTCCCGGAGTCCCAAATTTGTTTTCTTTGATACAACTATTTGAGCGGCACCCGAAAACACCCCAATCCGTTTTTTTCAATTTTTTCCTAAAACATTAGGAAAGGTCGTGAACTCATCGACAACTTTCCTCATGCGAGCCGTCCACTCACATCTCTTAATGACGGTAACATAGAAACAAATAAAGAAACTTTACTTGAAAATCGTCGTGTTGGCATTAGAAAGATAGCAGAGCATCTCAACAACTCCTAGGAATCAACTCAACACATTTTTAATGTTTTAGGTATGAAGCCTGTCAACGCTAGGTCCATACTAAAAGACCGCAATCTTTTGCAAACAAACGACAAAAAAAAAAACCCCAAAATGCTCTGAGGCCATCCGAGGCCATCCGAGGCTAAGATTTGTACTAAAATACGTGAAAATGTAGTTACTGTTTTCATTACTCCGGTTCATATTTAATCAGATGTAGTTTGGTACTAATTTCGCAGTGAACCCTGGTATTAGATATAATCTCTGCATGAAACCTCAATCTTTTACATAAGGACGCAGAAACCGAAAAAACAAAATTCGCAGAAGGCTCTGAGACCTTCCGAGGCTGTGATGTGTATTCAAATACGTGAAAATGTAGTTATTTTGTTACTGATTTCGGATTTCACTTTTACATTCGATCTTTGCATGAATTCGAGAGTATGAAGCAAGTCAATGCTAGACCCATACTAAAAAAAAAAACCTCAATCTTTTACAAAAACGAGGCAAAAACCTAAAATTTAAATTCGTAGAAGACTCTGAAGGCCATCCGAGGTCAAGGCTTGTATTAAAATATGACAAAATTCGTTTGTTTTAGTCCGTGTCAAATTTGATCAGATGTTTGGCATTAATTTCGGAATGAAACCCGCCTTAGATTTGATCTCCACATAAATCCGAGTCCAGAATCCTCTGTTTATTAGCTGAAACCACAGTCTATATAAAAGGAATGTAATCGAGTTTACTTATTAATTTGGTCAAATAATCTCAACTGGACAACACCCTAAAACTATTTCTCTTATTTACAAATACCACAAAAATTATGCCAAAATAAAATATTTTGATAAGTTTGAACATAAAAAATAAAAGTTGCGCTTCACTATTTTAGAAGTAAAAATTGGAAAAATAATTTTATAACTAGTGGCAACTCTGCAAAAAAAAAATTTCATTGTATATTTCAGAACATTGCGTTATGAGGATCTTTCACTAAATACCTACGACATGACACAAGAGGTGCTACAATTCTATGGACTACCATTCGATCCACTGGTTGAAGAATTTCTGGACACGCATACAAAAGTAAATATTGGTGGGGTTAGCTCAACCTATCGCGACTCGAAATCGGCACCATTCCATTGGAAGCAAGATCTGCGGCCGGACGAGGTATGTACAATTATATGACAAATACATATGTACATCGGTATATAAAATGTGTGAAACATATGAATATTTTTATAAAATATATATTGAATAATTAAAATAATTATCACAGATCCAGTATATACAAAATAACTGCGAAGAGGCCATGCAATTGTGGGGTTATCGTAAGATCGACAACTTTACCAACTTCCAACAAGCAACATTTGATCCAATCGAATTGCCGCCACCCTTCTCGTGAACTGCTCTCAATTAAGTTGAGTAAATGTTGCAATTATGTAACGAAAACACAATTTTACAACAAACCTAAATCGTTTGTCTCCTACGCTCTATTTGTATCTTACTCGCTTATATTATGTTTTTTTATACCATTTTGTTGTGATATATCGAAGAAGTTAAATATTAAAAAAAAAGAAGAAGAAAACGAACAATGTTACTATGCTAATGCTAAAAAATAAAAATACGACAGCAGCATAAGAGTGAGAGAGAGAGCATGTATTTGTAATTATTAATGCGTATCTAGTTATAAGTAATATATATTAAACATAATCGTAAGAAGAGTTCGTTTAGCGCAAAAAAGCAATTTGGAAGTGCGGGTCGTAGGATGCGTGCATCAACAAAGCACAGGCTGAATGAGTGAAATAACGTATCCCAAGTCCGCCCAGGCCCACACCAACAACACACACACACGCATACATACATACACACAAACTTATCCATACGACATGAAAACGTATCAACAGTGCAGCACTGTAGTAATTTAATTATGTAGTTTAATATTATATAAGTATTACGTTCACATACTTAAATCGAAACAAGAAAAAATTTAAAACAAAACTCGAATTAAATAATTAATTTAAAACAACAAAAAATATTATGCACACTACTTAAAAAAACACGCGTAGACATTTTTACACTGCATAGTTTTAGGCGTTGTGCATTTTTTGCAAACAATTAAAAACACTAGACATACACACACATACACACTAAACTCATACACACATATGTAATTATGTAATTAATTAGTTAAATAATTTTTAAAAAATTGTACGCATTCATTAACGTTGCTGACATCTAGTATAGTTTCATAGTTTGAACTAAGCAGTAGGTTATGTAATATTTATATGCAGAGTACGCGCATAAATTCAAGTTATTTCAAAGCACACAAAAGCAAAAAGCAACAAATAATTATAATACTAAAATTAGATATGCGTTTGATAGCAAACAAATATTGCTAGTAGTTGAAAAATAGTGCTTTCGAAAAGCGTAAACAATTTTACGAATGCATTTTTGTTAGTGTAGTAATAAAAATAAAATGATGAAAGAAATGAAAAACATGCGAAATGTGCAAAATTATCAAACTTGTAAAAAAAAGCGAACATACATATATGAAAATCGATAAAACATTTGTCACATATCGTTAACTTAGCAATATAGCGCATACAGTGACGAGCTAAAATTTACAGCTAAGCAGCAGGGGTGCCAAGTTGTTATAAACAAAATTGACTTAAAATATTGATTTTCAAAATTTTGGGATTAAAATTTTTTATTTATTTTTTTTTTTATCAAAATTTTGGCTCTAAAATTTTATTTTCAAGTTTCGGATTAAAAATTTTGTTCTAAAAAATTTTAAAAATTTGTGATTTAAATTATTAAGTTTTTCAATACAAAATTTTGGATTCAAAATTGTATTTCAAGTTTCGGTTTAAAAATTATATTTTCAAAAGAAAAGAAAAAATTTGGAATTAAAAACATAATTTTTTTTTATTTACTTTTATTTACTTTAAAATTTTGGATTAAAAATTATATTTTCAAAATTTTGGGCTTAAAATTATTTATTTTATTTTTTTTTATTATTTTTTTTCTTTATTTATTTATTTTTTAATAAAAGGACCCATAATGTTTGGATTCAAATTAGATTTTCAAATTTCAAGTTTGGGGTTAAAAATAAAATTTTCATATAGGGTATTATAGGTTTTTCAGTATTTGTAAGCAAATACTTGTGACGAATTTATTAATAAATTAAGATATTTTTTAAAACTTCACAACGAGAGATCTCTTTTACTGTCATTTCGGTGAATAACGAAGCTCGTACGACCATATAAATCGTGTGTCAGCATGGTTGTGCTTAAGTATAGCTCGTCACTTCGATTTTACTCTTATTAAGCAGAAAGAGAGCTGTCAAAACCAGATTTTATTTTAAATATAAATCGGTATATTAAAAAAAAATTAAAAATTACATTTATTTCTATAATTTGAGAGCTCAGAAAAATTTCCAATCAAATTCTGCTGTATATATGTATAATAAAAAAGTTAACGAACGTGACTTTTGGCTAGACTATGCTTTGCTAGTTGAATTCAGGAAAAAATCGTTATTAAAATAACAATTAATTTTAAAAAAGAGAAAATCAAGTTGAAGAAGCACTAAACCTTCCGTTGCTGCATCATTTAGAACTGGATCAAACAAATTGCTAAGCAATATTGATGTAATTTTATGAAATCTAAAATATAAAAATTCTCGTGGTATATAAAATTTAAAAAAATAACTTCGATAAGCATTTATGTTATTATAGCATTGTAATTTTAAATAGACAAAAAATATATACAACAACAAATATTAAATTGTATATTATTTTTTGGTGCAATAATTTTAATAATTGTATTAGAAATGTAAACTGCCAATTTGTTTGTTAGAACAACAGCAAAGAAGGCGTTGCATGAGCAATAAATGTTATTAGCGAAAAATATAAAAATATTTTTGTTTATATTTATTAAATTAAAATATTGAAAAATAAAATTGTGGTTTTATTTATATGCCTGACTGCAGCAAAAATTTTAATACTCGATGGAGCCATGTGTAGAAGTTTACGCAAGTGAGGAAAGTTCTCGGATCGCCATTCACTTGGGAGTGGTAAAA